TGTAACAGCTTTACTTAGAGCTCTGTTCAAAATATACATAGCAATTTTCAAAGTTTCACCCTATGGATATTCATGTAAGTTTGTTCTACTCATCATATTCCTGACCATATCCTTTAGAGTTCGATTACCTCTCTTAGGAACACCATTCTGCTCAGGTGTCCCTAATATGGTGTATTAGGCACTATTCCACACTATTGTAAAACTTTGCAAAATCACTCATATTTTGACCAGACTCGTCATATTTTTCATATTATTCACTACCATGGTAAGATCTTACAATCTTGATACTTTTTCACATTGTTTCTCTACTTCTGGTTTGAAAATCTTGAATTTTTCAAATGCATGAGATTTATCATTAATCAAATAAATATATCCATATCATGAGTAATCATCAATAAAGGTTATGAAGTATTTGTTCCCACATATAGTGAAAAGAAAAGGTCCACTAATATCAATATATATCAAGTCCAAAATATCATTACTCCTAGTTAAATTTTTCTTTGACACATTGGTAACAAACGGGACTTCATTAGAAGGAGTCGAAGACAATTTATATAAACTATCACATAACAAGCTATTCCCAATCAAACGAGAATAAAAAATAACTCCACCATTCCATTAATAAAATTAAAAGAAAAACCACAGGCATTTAGTTTCAATATAGAAATTCAAATTCCGTTTGATTTGAGAAAAAAAAAACTGTATTTTCCAAAACATGAGAAAAGCCAAGCTCTAAAGTAAACTTCACTATTCCTATAAACTCAACCTTCACTCGAACTCCATTTCCAACACTCGAGCTCACTTCATTCTCACTTGGCCTCCGTTTGCTTATGAACCCTAGCAAGGAATTCGCAATATGTATACTAGTTCCAGAGTCTAACCATCAAGACTTCAAAGGCACATCTACGAAGGAAGACTCAAAATAAACTAAGGCCAACGGAATTTTAAGAGCCTTCAGCTTAGTTGATATATTTATGGGTAATTAGCACAAAACGTCCCTACCTTTTAAGTCTATTGTGGAAAACGTCCCTACCTTTCATTTTTTGGCATTTTTGCCCTCATTTCAACCTTTCTTTGCGCTGGACGTCCTTCTGTCCATATTCCATCAGTTTTTCCGTTAAACATTCGGGTAATTGGCACAAAACGTCCCTACCTTTCAAGTCTATTGTGGAAAACGACCCTACCTTTCATTTTTTGGCATTTTTGCCCTCATTTCAACATTTCTTTGCGCTGGACGTCCTTCCGTTCATATTCCTTCAGTTTTTCTGTTAATTAAATACAAAAATATCTTTTTCTTTCCATAAACAAGGGTAAAATTGTTCTCACCCACTTCACCCCTTTTTTTCGCCATCAACTTAGTCCATAAGTAACAGTAGCAGCAACATGAATCTGAAAATACTTTAAATGATTAAGTTAAATAAAGAAAAAATATCGTGAACACATTATATTTCACAATTCCACAACTACTGTTGCTGTCATCTTGTGTCACTGGAAAAATTTAGAAAGACATATTAAATGGGTAGTCAATTTATAATGAGTCAATTTAAAATGAGCCATTCATCTTCTCCATTGAGCCAAAAAGAGTCATTCACCATTTTGGCTCATTATAAATTGACTACCCATTTAATATGTCTTTCTAAAATTTTTCAGTGACACAAGATGACAGCAACAGTAGTTGTGGAATTGTGAAGTATAATGTGTTCACGATATTTTTTCTTTATTTAACTTAATCATGTAAAGTATTTTCAGATTCATGTTGCTGCTACTGTTACTTATGAACTAAGTTGATGGTGGGAAAAAGGGGTGAAGTGGGTGAGGACAATTTTACCCTTGTTTATGGAAAGAAAAAGGTATTTTTGTATTTAATTAACGGAAAAACTGACGGAATATGGACAGAAGGACGTCCAGCGCAAAGAAAGGTTGAAATGAGGGCAAAAATGCCAAAAAATGAAAGGTAGGGACGTTTTCCACAATAGACTTGAAAGGTAGGGACTTTTTGTGCCAATTACCCTTTAATTAACGGAAAAACTGACGGAATATGGACGGAAGGACGTCCAGCGCAAAGAAAGGTTGAAATGAGGGCAAAAATGCCAAAAAATGAAAGGTAGGGACGTTTTCCACAATAGATTTGAAAGGTAAGGACGTTTTGTGCCAATTACCCATATATTTATCATCAATTTATACATCAGATCATCAGTTTCGACTTTATTAGACTCAATAAAATTTCTCTTATGGCATCCATAAAACCTTTGGCATTTTCATTTTCTAGGATAGCACCCATAATGGAATCGGGTATAAAGCGCTTAATGATTTCAAACAAATTTTGTTGGCCTATCCCACTTTTCATATTTGGCTGCATATTCAAAAGTGCTCTTATCTATGGGCTTCTTAAACTTTTTCTTCATTGCAAAGTCTAAGCTTAAAAGACCAAGTACTATTTTTACATTTTGTTTCCATCTCACATAATTATTCTCAGTCAAGGTTTCAATTGCAACAATTGACTCGAAAGAGATAGGGCATTATAAATAGTGGAAACGTAAAATATCATACTCAATATCCTCCAATGCAATCAAATGGATGATAAAATATCCACCCAATAAACATGGGCTATTAATTAAATAATTCACAATTAAATCAGTACCACATGATGTTATTATGGTAAGAATCTAGATGCATCATCATAAATTCACATTTGGGTTGACAATATAACATGATATAAGGCACTCTTAAAATACATCGTATAGCTAGTTAACAAGATCACATTGGTTTTCGAAATTCCAACATCTTTGGGGAAAAGGAGATTTCTGGACCCAAGTAAGCTTATTAACCGCCTTATGCCATTTTTCAAAAATATCACATATAATAACATCTTTGGACAAAATATTATATGTAATAAATCAAAATTATTGCTCAAAATATATATTTTTGTTGTATAGAAAATCGAATAAATAATAATGAGTGTGTCACTTTGGCAGTTACCACCCATTTTTATTTCAAAATATTTCTCTTTGTAGGAAAATAAAGATCGTCTCAACATCCATGAAAAATCCAATCACAGAATCATAATCGTCAATCGATGAAAGACAAAAATTTATATGTGATTGAGAAATAAAATTGGCAACGAAATTTCAATATATATTTAAATAAAATTTAAACGCACAAATAATAGTAACATTTAATTATATATACATTTTAAAAAAATAATAATAATAAATAAATACAAAAGTCGTCAATTATATTTTTTATTATTTAATATATTTTAATCGGGTCAATTATTAAATAAAATTTTAATTGGGTCAAAATTGGAATATTGAGGTCAAAGCTTTCGAAGTTCAATATCAAAATTCAAACTTAGGGCTTATTTGAGCCACATTATTTTAAAAAAAAAAGCATTTTCAATGGTGATTTGACATTATTTCAATCACATATTTTTCAATAAAATAATATTACACGTAAATTTAAAGTTTTCCTTATTTTTTAACAACAAATTTCTCATTAATTTGATATGAATAATGCATTTTTTTCTCGAATGTGGCTCAAACATGGGCTTAATACCCTATTGAAAATTACATCTTAGTCCCATATTAAAATTAAAACTAGATCCTTCAATATTTAAAATTGCATGACAGATCCTTATATTAAAAAATTACAACATGCCATGTGTTTAATTGTAGGCAGGGGCCTTTCATCTCGTAAATTACGAGAGATGCTCTCGTCCCCAAATTATCACAGCAAACCGAAATTAAACCCAAAATAAAAATAACAAAAGTACCACCCATTTCGGCTCCGATCGAGGTTACCAACAACCGGCCAAATCTCTCCCACAGACCACCGCCCGATATAACATCATACGAATTTAACACTAATTCTCAATTTTACAGCAATAAAAATAAAATAAAATATAACCGCAAACATATAACAATGGCTGACGGTGTCTTTTCTTCTATAACGAGTTCAATAGATTTCATCCTTCAACAACATCAATTCTCATCCCAATTAATTCATCAAAGGGGGGAAAACGCCAACTATTAAAAAAAAAAAATCGATAGCAAATTTTGACGGTGTCAAAACCCAAATCAATTGGCAAGTAAAAGTACCACTACCAGCGGCAGAGGAGTAGCGAGAACTGCTTTTGAATTAATTCCATTTTTTTAGCCATTTGAGGGTTAGAGAGGAGAGAGAAAACTTGATTCATATATGGCTTTGGTTTGATTTCTTTTCATATGTTTACAATGAATATATTAATACATAATACATATAGGCACAGAACACAACGTGAAAATTTGAAACCCCCCCCGCCCCCCGCTTTTTGTATGTGTAAAGCATTTGATAGAAGGTTAAAATAATCGGGATAGAATATTATTTTTATGAAGGATTCTGACCTTAGCATGAAGGCTCTGATACCAATTATTGAATTTAATAATAATTATGCTAAGAAGCGAGAATCACAAAATAATAAATTAATAAAACGAATTCATTCCTGCGGAAACCATTGTTGATATGAATAATAGTTGTAATAATAGCCAGATCTTCCCCTCCTTGTATCTCGCAAAATATTAACCGTCAATGGGACAAGCTAACAAACCAATATGGAGAGAAGAGGGGGTCTAGCCTTTATATAAGAAATAATTGAACCGTCCCATTACGACTAGAACTCTAATTAGGTTTTACTTCCGACCCACATATTTAAAATTACCATATCATATTAATTACAACCCGTAAGGTGTAAAAGACGCAATTGATCACTTAATAAATTTGGCACAATCATAAATATCATTATGAGCCATACATATACCCTATAAAATTTACAATTGAATGTGAAACCCACAATTGGAATTATTCCAATAAATACAAGTTAAGAGCAGCCCTTAGTCAAAATGACAGCCTCTGAAGATATAAAATCACACTCACAAGTCTTTTCTTTCTTATTATTTGCTAATAAGGGAACCAGAAGATAACAAAGCACGAGTGTAGTAATCTTAAAAGAACAAACTCATAAGACTGTGGACGAAAGAGTAAAAAGCTAGGTTGTCTAGGCACATTTGAAGCCTGGTGGAACCTTCTTGGAGCAGACATTAAGAAGCAAGCTAAGGGAAAGAGGAACATTGAGGTTAATGCCCAAAACATTGGCTTTAATGGCAGTGCAAAGGCAGACCGCTGCCTCCAGGTCGACGAGGCCTTGGATAAGGGAGCAGCATGGAGTTTTTAGTGGTGTCCCAATGGTAACACCAAGCAATCCACCTAGAAGATTAGCGCATACCCCTAATTTTAAGGCATCCATAGGGCAAGTGCCCTTTCTTCTTTTAATTAATTCATTAATTATTATTTCCTATATTTTAAATTTATTTTAAATGCAAATAATAATAATAATAATAATAATAATAATAATAATAATAATAATAATAATAATAATAATAAAGAAGATGATGATGATGATTTATTGTATTAAAAAATATATAGCACAGATGACACAAATACACTTAATCGATTTATCTGGAAAATGATCAAAAAAAAAAAAAAAGGGGACAACAGAGACTTTATACACTTTGCACTATTTTTGTGCAAAGTGTAGTGTTGCATTGAAGCTCATTTGCACCAAAAAATGGTGCATTTTGGTGTTTTGAGAATCACATTGGAGATGCCCTTAACAACTTGTAGCTGCTAATTCTGTTAATGGGTTTTTACAGGAAAGAAAAGGGTTAATTTTGCAAATTGATGTTAACATATAGTATGTTTGAGCCACATTATTTCTAAAGACTTTATTTTGGAATAGTAGATTAATGACGAATGTATAATTAAAAAATAAGAAAAAAATTTGGATTTACGTGTAATATTATTTGATTGAAGATTGTGGAATTGAAATGATATTAAATCACTATTTAAAAATGTATTTTTGTTTTCTAAATAATGCAGTTGAAACAGGGCGACAATAGTAGCTATGTGCGCCCTAAGGATTTTAATTGGAAAGAGGCCAACTTTTGGATGCTTGTGAATTAAGAAAAGCAAATTGCCATGTTCTTTGCTGAAGTCTAAATCTGTGGATTTTCAAACATATTATATGTAATAAAGTAATAAACTATATATAATAATTATAATTATTTGATTTATTTAACCCAGACATATTACTTAAAACTTTTCCCTATAATGAATCAATGAATTGTTGATTGCATTATTGAAAAAAATAATAATAATAAATAAAATTGATAAGAGTACACTTATTTAGACCATATTACTAAATTTTTATATCATCAAATTATTTATTTCTATTTAAGTTGGGTTAATTTTCTTTAGTTTTTAGTGATGGACTCGTTTAAAGCAATACGAAAGGAAAGAAGGATAAATTGGCTGTTGGATGAACATTTGGAGATAATATTCCACACTTTGAAATTTGAAGGACTTGACTTAAAATAAAGAAGAAATGGATTGAACAAATAAATGGACTCAAGGGACAAAACTGCATTAATTATGAAGAACAAGGACTTGAAGACAAGAATCAAATTACATGGCATTTGAACATGGTAACAGTAGGTTATCAAATTCTAATTAAACTAGAATTCAAGAAGCTGATGTTAAGAAAGTCGAATTTCACCTTTATATCAAATTGGGCCAAAAGATCAATTGGAAAAAGGATGAAAGTCCATGTGCATTTGGACTCTTCAAGTAACAATATAAAGTGGTGGCTTAGGTATAGAGTTAATTATTCCAATGATCACTGAATTTAGGTCCATATTTTTAATTGACCACTGAAATTTAAAATGTCGAGTTTTGATCATTGAACTTAGATCCATCTTTTCAATTGCTCACTGAAATATAAAATGTCGAGTTTTGGCCACTGAATTTTGAAAAATGTCATATGTTACTAACTAAACTTCGAAAAATACCGTACATTGCTTACTATAAATTCGATAATTTTCAAAGTTCAACAATTATGCTAATGAGTAACGTTAATGCGTATTTCAAAGTTCAATGAGTAATGTACAATATTTTTCAAAATTTAGTGGCTAAAACTCGACATTTTAAATTTCAGTGAGCAATCAAAGATATGGACCTAAGTTCAGTAAGCAAGCAAAGACATTGATATAAGTTCAGTGATCAAAACTCAACAGTTTAAATTTCAGTGATCAATCAAAGACATGGACCTAAATTTAGTGACCATTGGAACAATTAACTCTATAGGTATAAGATAGAGGGGCTTCCTGCTTTACTATATATATAGCAAACACGGAAAGAGAAAAGAAAAAAGGGCTGCTGCTGAGATGTATACACATTCAAAGAAGGGTGGTCGGCTAATACGCATACACACATGCACAAAAGGACAGAGGCTGAAAGTGAAACAGATTTTTTTATACACGGGCACAAGAAACAGAGGCAGATTGATGATTTATATGCATGCAAAAAGATGGTGTTTTTTGGGAGTCAAACATAAAGGTTGGAATTGGAATATTCAATTGAAAAACTCGACGGGTGCAAGGTGATATACAAACGAATAGGGGTTGAATTATATATACACAAAGACACACATACATAAGAGGAAAAGAAGAAGAAATAAGACGTATGAAGCATGACATATCCATATTTTGGCAGGAAGAAGTTGAATCCTTTGATAAGCCTTGGAACAGATTCAAGAACATGCTTCGAAAGTGTCCTCATCACGACATTAGTAAAGGGCTCTAGGTCCGATATTTTTATACAAGTCTACTTCCATCTTACAAAAGCTTGGATGACTCATAATCCAATGGCTCCTTATCTACAAAGGCAATTGATGAAACCTTGGAGTTGTTTGAGAGAGTGGCTATTACTACAACCATGTGGGTTTCTAAGTGGATTGTTCATAAGAAGGCAGCAGAAGTATATGAGATGGACCACTTATATAGTGTTATCTACAAAAATTGATTCTTTGGCTCATAAGGTTGAGAGAATATCACAGTCAGCCATTGTAGTACAAATCAAGCAGCTAAGTTGTGAAGAGTGTGGAGCAGATCATATTATAGCAAATTGTCCAATTCTTGTAGAAGAGGTCAGCATCAACAAAATAATCCACATTCTGATACATACAACTAGGGATGTTAACGAGTCGAGCAGAACTCGAGGCTCGGGCTCGGCTCGAGCTTTTTCCAAGCCCGAGTAGAGCCGAGCCGAGCAAAAGCTCGAACGAAAAAACAAGGCTCGGCTTGAGCTTTGGGCTCGGGCTTTGTCGAGCCCACCTAGCTCTTTTTTTTCTTTTTTTAATAATAAGATTACGAATTTAATATTTTCTTAAAAAAATTTAAAAATTGCATAATTTATATGAGCTACAAATCAAATAAAAATTACAACTTATAAAATTGCGTTACAAATTAAATAAAAATTACAACTTACAAGCCTCCTCCTTTTTTGGGGCTTGGGACCTGCTACATGACGTAGACGAAGTTAAAATTATACACGAATAAAATATTTCGTGTACAATTTTTTTGAAACAAATAAATTTAAAAATTACATATTGTTTTAAAATAAATTATTTTAAAAACTTACAACATTCTATGTTTGGATCTGCCGCAACTCTTCGGCCAGTATACTGTCAATATGTTCTTGAATTCATAATTTTGCACATTCCCAATAATTCAAGTATATTAAAGCCTCCAATATATTTTCTTTTAATATTGAACGTTCATCTGATAACCTAAACTGAATGCAGCCTCCGATGCTACCGTAGACACCAGAGGTGTTAGTAGATCACGTGCAATTTTTGATACAATTAGATATTGTCTTTCATTACACCTCCACCAATTTAGAAGACTAAATTCATGTAATTCTTTTTCAGGTAACACGGTGCGAATATCCACGCACATATACTTAGCTAACTCGGAGGAAATTTTAAAATTTGTACCACCGATATTTATTGCTCTAGACATTAATGAACTAGAACTAAACGAGGGAACACTTGTATTGCTTTCCAAAAAATTCTATAAATTATTTGAATTTGTTGAAATATTTCTTGAAAAAGAACTTTGGGAAGTAGAACTACATTGGTCTTCTTTATCAGCATAATAATTATACATTTCAGATAATATAGATTCTACATTCACATGTGATAATTCTACATTTATGAAATTTGAAATCCCCTTTATAGTGGCTATTATGTCATTCAAATTAAGTCGATGGTCCATTACTAAAGCTAAAATAAATAAAGTGGGCAATTCTTCTCAATATTTATGAAATTTTAACTCTATAGAGCAAACTAAGTCAGAAAAAATGGCAAATCCTATATTTGTGAAATGTTTGTGAAATGTAGAAAAAATATTGTAAAACAAGTGAAGATGTAAGTTAATAAACTCTACTACATTCCTTTGTAGTATCGAAAAAAGATTTTAAAATTTTTTTCACATGAAATGCAAGAGACTACTCTCAATTTTCTAAATTGTGTTCAGGTCTGTATATATGCCTACCATTATAATATAATGAAATCACTTTATCGTAATTTGTACACAAATGTAACATAAGTTATGTAGAATTCCATCTACGTGTTACATCAGTGGCAAATGATTTCTCCTGTAAGTCATACTCTGCACACAAACTGTTAAATACTTATTTTCTTGTCGGTGACACAGTAATAAAATTTTTTGCTTGTCTAATTTTATTTAAAGGAGAACTTATATGTTATTATCCAGCTTTTACAATTAAATTGATAATATGACATACACAATATTGATGAAAATTTAAGTTCCAAATGAAGGGTTAAGTTCATTAATAAATCTTTCGATAATACCTTTGTTCACAATAGCATTATTAAAAGTTAAACTTCAAATCATATCTTGCATATCATATTCTTGTATGATATCTTTTAAAACCATGTATATGTTAGTGGTATTATGAGAATATTCTTCACATCTAAATGTAATAATCATTTTATGTAAAAACCACAAGTGATCAATATAATGAGTCGTAGCAGTAATATACAATTTTCTATTACCACCGGTCCATAAATCAGATGTAAATGATATAACACTCTTAAAAGTTTTTAGACTTTCAATAGCAATTTGTTTTCTTTTTTTTATAAAATTTTATAGTATCTAAACGAAGAGTATTTCTACAATAAGAAAATACCTGGGTTGGAGATATTTCTGCACGAGGCGGGTAAAGTGTACTGAGTCTATCATCGTAAGCGACATCTCTGCTACAACCACGTATGCAATCATTCCTTCACGAAATCTTTCCTGTGAATATACAAAGGTGGAAAGAGTAGAACAAAGACCGCCAAACACTAGTTTGGGCTGTTTCGAGTCGAGATCATCTGGTTTTTCTTTGCAACTCCTTAATATGTATCTATTCAAATATGTTGTGCTCGAACTGGGCTTCCAATTAAGTTTTTTGCCACATTAATTGCAACATGCTTTCCAAATATCCACTTCATTTTGAACACCAACTTTTTTACGTGTCATATGTTGCTAACAATCCGAGGATTCTTTTTTCGATCTTTTAATCTCGAGTACTTCTTTGTCATCAATATTCTTCAAATCAATTGGAACATTTCGAGATCCATCGTCGTAATTGGATGAAGTACTCGAGCGACCCTTAAACTGATTAAACTCATCACTAGTAAAATCCATCTATAACTAGTATAATATAAAATACAAAATATTACGGTATGACTGTATGAGAGTGAAAGAAATTGAATATGAGATTGAGAGCAAAAAAATTAGAGTTGAAACTTGAATATATAATACTGCAAATTAAAATCGATTGAAACAAATTGATTTGAAACTTCAAAATTTACCACGTATTTATAGCCAAAAAAATCAATTTTACCTCCAAATTTGAAATTCAAATTTGAAATTTGAATTTGAATTTCAAATATTAACCTCGTAAATTGAATTATGAAGTATAGTAAAAAAAAGTATAAAATACCGTATAAAAATACCTAACTGCCTTAAGACAGCATTAGTTGCCCGTTACAAGTAGCTGATAGCTGCCTATAAGGAGGTAGCTTGACTATTTATTATATGTATTAAATTTATTTATTTTTTTGAATTTTGATCTTTGAATTTGGGGTGATCTTGTCACGGGCCATTTTGGCCCACAACAAAAGCCAGCCCGTGTGGCTCGCCGAGCCACAACGGGTTGGCTCGGGCCAACGCCCCAAAA